TACATCCGAGTAGTAGAGCGAGGAGAGCAGGACCATTAAGTGAAGCTACATAGTTGCAAAGTTATAAAAATAATAATAGTTATAGCTGTTACCAAACCGTTTGATCAGGTCAAGGACTTGGCCACTCTGAATGCATCTGTCGGTTTACATCAAGACTCTTAAATACCAAAGAGTAAAGTTTCAATTGCAATCTGCTGACATTCAGTATTTATATCAGATACATAGAGACAGAAGTACAAAAGCAGAGTTCTGCCCCTCTCTACCAGGCTAAAGGTGGCTCTCTGTGCTTTCTGAAAGCTGCGTCACTAGAAACAATGCATGATCGTTACCACAGCAACCCAACAGATAGGTCTGTGATGTCTGCACGCCCCAAACCTGATCTGATCACTTAGTGCAGACAGTTTGTCCCAAAGATCTGATTTTAAGATAGATCTGATTTTCCTGCACTCTGCACAGAACCAGAGTGTCAGTCACCCTGAGCATGATGGATGTGATGCACTTTGTTTAAACACGTACTTATTGAATACTCATCCATCAGTCGTAGCAGAGGAACACTAAGTGACAGTACAGAGAGTGTCACAGAGGTGCTGCTCTTGATTTGATTTGTTCTTCAGAGTCCAGCGGCTGGCAGGTGATTAAACATTGAATCATAATGTGCTGCCACTTCTTTTTTTGGGGGGGGGGGCGGGTAGTTCTGGATCATTGAAAATATAAAACATGATCAATAGTGTGTACATCCAGTTTATGAGCTGGTAGAGATTTTCTCATTTTGATTGTTCACAGCAGCGAGAGTAAAGACGTGCTTAATGACACTATTGATCTCAAAGTCCCATCAACTGACTAAATAAACCATTTAAGTAGAAATTAAAAATAACAGTGCTGAGGCACTGAAACGGGTCGCAGCCAGAACTGATTAATGCAATTAAACCGGTCTGAGCTTGATGGTAAGATGGAGCTTGTAAATTTAATTTCTGGTCTTCTGACTTCTCAAAGTGCTTTTTCACCACAGGTCACACCTACACATTCACACACTGATGGTAGAGGCTGCTGTGTGAAGAGTCCATCAGAAGTAACTCATTCATACACATTCACACGCTGCAGACGAAGCAGCAGGAGCAACTTGTCCTGGGTATCGAACCCCCAAACTTCCGACTGTTCCCGCGACAGACTCTACCACTGATCCACAGCCGCCTAAAATGATGAGAACACTGATTATAATCTGAAAAATAAATCAATAATCCGTGATACAATTAAAATAACTTTATTTATTTTTTATGATATGTTTTTCTGCAACCGTGCGCACCTGAGAACGTATAGGCTGTGCACTGGGTAACTTGTTGGCTATTTAGATTAAACCTGTTTATAGCCTATTAGCATAGCAGGTAGCATAGCAGTACAAAAATAACTTTTCTGCTGCTATGAACAGAAACATTCAGGTACCAAGATGAGTTTTTCAAATGTACATTCTCCACTGGGAAAATATTTAGTATTCCCATCGTCTTTATGCTACAGCACTACTGCCAATTTTGACACATGTTAAGTGTTTAATGTTTCACACTGTTTACAGGCTTCACCCAACACTTGTCTATTAATTCCCTGTGTAAAGAGTTCTCAGAGATCATCGGGGGTGAACTGTAATGCACTTAAAAAAACACATTTAGGCGTTAAGACTAAATCAGCTCCTTAATAATGCTGCATGAATCAGAAAAATAACCACAGACTCTTGGCACAGAAACTCGTGTGTCTAGACATCGTCTCTCCTCCTCAGCTTAAATGCCTGCCAACTTGCCCGACATGCATTTTTTCCCGTCCAAACAGACAAAGGCGTGCAGCAAAGCACCTGCCTGAGCGTCAGTCCACAAAACTCAGACATCTCCTGCAGGAAAAACAGCAGACACAAATCCGCTTAATAATCTACATTTCCAGAAGAGTTGGGGAATGGCCGCAGGGCACAAACAGCTCAGAGCCTACCGGGAGGGGAAATAGAATTACTCTGAACGGTACAAAGCACTAAAAATATGAACGACTGGTCCGTCTGTCTTGTGTGTTGGAAAATAAAATCACTTCCACGTCAGCCGTTTCCCCCCTGCAGAAAACAGAGCTCTGTGTGGTTTTACGACGAAAGCTAAAAACTCATGGACTAAGAAAAGGAGCCTATATTTAAAAATCTATATTTAATGGAAGAAAAACACGGTCAGCTTTAACCACACAGGCTGAGGCTGTAAGCTGAGCTTGCATTGTGACCAGCCTCTATCAGCGAGGCCAGAGCAGTGGTGATGGAAACACAGAGTGAGAGAGAGACAAATAGGAGAGAAGATAATGAATGAAGGAGAGGGAGAAAAAGAGATTTAGTGAGGGGGAGGGAGGATAATGAGTGAGAGAGAGGGGGAAAAAAAAAAGGAAGCCTCCCTCCGTTCTGTCCTCCTTGTCTTGTGGTGCAGGGTTATTTTTAGCTCCGATGGGGAGCAACACAGTGCTGTAAAGGCAATCATTTCTGCTGCGGCACAGCCATCGCTCACCGCGACATCTCTGTCAGAGCAAAGGCAGGCTACACACACACACACATGTATGCACTGCACTCATTCATGTATGTACAATACCATTCACCAAGGACATGAGGTAAAAGTATCAGAACCTCTGCACTGAAGCTGTCAGAGGCCGATAACTTGTATGGATTTTCCCTCTTTAAGGCCACAGCCTCACAGATCTCCACAGCATGACATCCAGATCGAATCCATCCAAAGTCTCCAAAACACAGCTTGAAAAACCATTCTCCTTCCCTAAACTGGAAAACCACCTAAACAGAAAGCCCCCTTCAATGTCTTGTTGTGATTTTTTAAAAGGCCAAGTTTCCAACGTGCTTCTCATCTCTCACACACGTAGCCTCAAAACAGAAAAAGCCCTCTTCTCAGATGATGGAGCATGAACACCAGCGTCTGTGTGTAAGGTCAAATCAATCATGTTGGGGATTAGCCTGGCTCTTGAAAGGACACACACATGCAAACATGCAACACACACAACTGAAGACCTTCACCTGATGAAGGAGAAGGAAGCCAACATGGCACCTACATCAATCGCTCCTCTTAAAGGGTAATCAAACTTGTTTCTTTACACGATGCAGAAACAGGCTTGTTCTTCTTAAAGTGATGTTACCTATTTGATTAACACAAGCTCTTGCAGCCCTTTGACCCAACCTCCATATTTTGAACCCTAAGTTGGTTGAAATAGGGTGAAGTTTTCTGACATAATAATAAAGTCATGTGTCTAAAAAAAACAACAGAAAACGTGCCTCCTAATATAGTATGACTCAGCCCGACATCACTATGCACAGTATTGGATTAGGGCAGCCAACTCACTACATCCCTGGCTGGAATATAAAAGCAGAGTTTGCGGCCAGGTATTGGAGAGGACTGGCAAACTAAACTTCAATCATATCCTCTTAAAAGGCTTCAAAGTAACACTTTATACTTCCTGTATGTGAGAGAGTTTCAGCAGACTCAAAGAACACTACATTTAGTGGAGACGACGGCCAACAGGCTCAAAGATGCAGCTGGTTTTAGACCTCTGACAGGTCAAATGTAATCATGAGGAATATAAAGACATTTCAGAGCACTTCTTTCAGAAGCTTTCACCCACATGAAGAGAGACACTTTAAGTGTTTTTGATGGTTCATAAAGTGCTCGGATGGAAAGTTGTTCAGTAGAACTAGAAACAGGAAGTGTGGAGAATTATTTACTTGGATATTTCTCTGACGATGATACTTATATTACAAACCGGCTCACTGCATGAAAACGCTGTCTCAACACTGTCGCAAGAATAAGGACAATAACTGACCAGCTGTGCTTTTCATTCACCTCCTAATGGAGAATGTGGTCTTGCTAACGGTAAAATTTGTTGGGTTGGCAAACATGCAGATGACAGACATCTACTTGAGTAGTCAGAAGTAGAGCTAGACCGATTAATCGGCATGCCGATAATATTGCCCGATATTAGCTTATTATGTGACTATCGGTATTGGTTAATTTTATTGCAGATATGCGCTGATATTACTATTTTTATTCACCAGTCAATCAACATTTAATTTGAGTTTCATTGTATTACACTAGCAGTTCTCTTTCACCAGTAGAGGGCGTTATATGGATTACAACCAGCATAATAACTCTCCAGAGTGTCAAGCGGTGATGCACGTTCATCCGCAGTTACTTTCCAGTTGAGTGACCATCTTGACTTCGTTTATCTTTTTCACAAGTGTTTGATAGGGATAAACACAAAAAAAATGTGTATATCTAAATCTATCTATCTCTACAGAAGATAGAGCTCAGAAAGATATTGGCCGATATATCTGTATCTCCCAAATATCGATATCCGTATCGGCCCTACTCCTGATATTTTAAAGCTGGTTTTGTGCTTGACAAATAGATTCATCTAATGCTGAGTCTTCATATATTTTATATAGAGTCGCTGTTAGTCTCAGCAGATTGTCCTCCAGGAGCCCTGAGTCATTATTTAATATAAATCAAGTCAATCCACCGAGTCAAACCATTTCAGCACATAGCCGATCACTGTAAACACTGACACTCGCTCTGACACCAGATGGCGGAGCCCTGTGGTCAGTGAGCGTGCAGGACCGCTGAGTTTGCCCATAAAGTCAGAGCTGAACAAGCAGAAGACTGGGATTCAATTTCTGTTGTTTTCTGTTTGAAATAATGACTCTGTTATGTCACTTTTCTACCTCACACCGTGGCCAGTAGGTTGAGCAAATTCACCTGACACTGTACAAAAACACTAACATTCAGTGGGTGGTGGGCGCTAATTTCCAACTCTGGTTTGACCACACCTGACATCACAGTGCTTTCAGCTACAAAGGTGTGTAAAATCTATGAATGTAAAGGTGTGGGCCCTAACTGAAGAAGACCTCTGGTCCAAACGTTAAGTTTTAATAAACTTCCCCGAGATGTTGAGAAAGTGTGCGGCCGTAATAATGAAACATTTATTCTTACCGGTGATGAGCTCTCGTACTTCCATGTCATTAGTCTTCCTCAGCAGGCGGACGAGGCCCGGGATGCCGTCGCAGTTCTTGATGGCCACCTTGTTGTCGTTGTCTTTGCCATAGGAGATGTTGCGCAGGGCGCCGCAGGCCTTTCGGTGGACCTCAGATTTGGGGTGGTCCAGCAAACTGACCAGAACAGGAATCCCCTTCAGCTGACGCACATCCTTCTTGATCTTGTCATTCTCGTAGCACAGGTGCTGCAGGTAGGCGGCGGCGTTGGACTTGACCGGGTCGATGGGGTGCCCGAGCATGGCGATGACCTCGGGAAGGTCCGGATCGCGCCAGCGGGGGTCCTTGCGGATGCTGTCGATGGAAGGTGAGCGCCGGCCTCCCATGCGGTCCAGACTGGCCATGCTGCCCCTCTCCGGCTGAGCGAGCGGCGCCGAATACATGCCGTGGATGTACGGGTGGCGCTCATCGATCAGCTCGGCCTCAACAGGGTCATCTGCGTACCCTCTGGAATAAGACAGAAGAGAGGACGGTGAGGACAAGGGGGATGGACAAGGTAAATGGAGGGTGACTCATAGAGATCCGTCTCAGAGACGAATTAGGCAGCCGGGGGAAAGACTTTGAGAGAAGCCAAGTGAGGTGAGCGCCGCTGACTAATGAGGGGACAACAGAGGACAGGGTGAGTGAGAGGTGAGAGACGTGGGCGATGGAGGGGAGAAGGACGGTTTGCGGGACGACATGATGATATGTGGCTTTGGATCTCTTATTAACGGGCCTGTCAGAGGGACCGTGGCGGCAATCCGCTGCAATAAGAGTGATATGGTAAGCAAGACTACTTATTATTCCTCCCTGTCAGGTGGTGGCAACAAACGTGTCAGACTTGAACAAACAAAGTCTTAGAGAGAGAGAGAGAGAGAGTGATTGAGAGACAGGAAGAGACTGCACAAAGAGAAAAGCAGGCGGTTCGCAAAGAAGACTGAGACATAACAACACCAAAGTAAAAGCTTTGAAGAAAAGTCTTGTGAAGTTTTTTTGTGTTTTCTTTTTGTGTTTTTTTTTCAGGAAGCCACCACATACAGTGGAGAAAGAATTTGAAGTCCTCTCCCCGGAGGGAACAGAGGAACGAGCTGAGCTGTGCTGTCCCCCCAGGGGAGGAGTCTGAGTCCCTGTGATGCCCCCGGGGGCTCCCTTTTTCTCACAGCGCTGAACACTACCATGCAGTTCCTAAAATGTTAATGGGCTTCTCTCTTGGAGTCTCTGCTAGCATTAGCCTCATTAGCATTGCTTCTAGGGATTTCAGCAGTGTGCTCATATTTAACTGATGGAAATAAGTGTTAGGGGGAGAGGGGTTTCCCTTCGACTGAATCTCTGTTACCCCGGCCTCTCACAGTCTGTGATCTGCACTCTTGGGGTTCTTTCCTCCAAAGGCAGCCTCATCAATCGTCCACCAGAACCACGGCTGAGAATATCGCCGCTGAATCCCAATGACGGATCATTTGTAGCTGGAGTGCAGGCAACTTATTCTACTTGAGGCTCTGCAGTCGTTAGGGGGAATATTTCACTTGTAGAGCCCACTCAAAGGGAGGAGACAGGGAGGCACATTTCACACTGACTGAAAGTTGTAGTAAATATATATTTTTTAGGAAGTTCTTCCTTTTTTGAAAACGCACCACCGAGTCGGCTGAAAGGATGTGAGAGTGTGCGGCGAGGGGAAAGTTATGACACGGGGAGAGGAATTTAATTAGGGTTGTGTACTTCTGCACAGCCCTTTATCATCATCCCCCTACCAACCTAGCCCACAGTTTGAGACTTGTTTATCCTCGTTACATAATCCAGCTGGCCTCCTCTCACCATCTTTTGATGTATGGCGGTTGGTGGTGCAACAAAATGGCGGGCCAACGCCGGCGGTTGGCGGGGAGCTGTAGACCGAGCTTTAATTTTAATGAGTTTTATGTTAATTATGTGTTTTTACAGTTCTTCCCAGGCATGCTGGGAAAGGAGGGAGGAGGGGGGGGGGGGGGGGGGGGTGTGTGCTCTGCGTGCCATCTCACCCCTGCTCTAGTGTATTCCTCTGCTGGTGCGTCTTTTTTTACAGCAGCCTCGCAGCAGCAGATCTGCTTTTATGGCACGACTTTGAGCATTTCACTGCCAGGAAATCGATACGAGATGAAGTGGGGGTAAAAAACTCCTGCTTGAGCAGTGTAACGAGATGCTAAATCCCCTATTCAGTTCGATGGAAAGGAGATTAATAGCGATGGAGTGAGGCACCTCCGTCTAGTCCCCTCTGACGGGGCTGAGCGGCTGCGGCAAACTTAGCGGGACAAGTTTTGAGTGTCGTGGGCATGTGTTAGGAACAGCTGGGCCTTGTTCACTAACTCCCTCTAAACCCACCTGAACACTTTTACAGCAGCACTACCTCAGAACTGATTCTTACATTTTGAGAGCACTGCTCAATTGTTTTATCATATTAATTTCTCGCTGCTTCTCTATTTTTTAAGATGTATTTTTGTGCCTTTATTGAAAAGATAGGACAATTGATAGAGTCAGAAATCTGGGAGAGAGAGAGAGAGGGGAACAATATGCAGGAAAGGAGGCACAGGTGGGGTTTGAACCCGGGCCGCCCGGTTGGAAGAGTATAGACTTCGTACATGTACAACACCGGCGCCCCTCGCTGTGTCTCTTTAAATCCTTAGTGTCCTCTGCACACAGCACCGCAGTCTCATGTCCTTATATGGGCATTGAAGGGGACCTTTTTTTCTATGTTAATTAGGAATAACAGGTAAGTATTCTGAGTTATGTATTTGTCTTTGTGTTATGAATATCATTTACTGATATGGTTTCATTATAAGCCCTCCTCGGGTTTATTACCTCAGCAGCAAAAGTCTCTCTTCGACCTGTGAAAGTTGTATTTCATTTCTACTTTTAGACTATTAAACGTCTTTTTGTGCAAACAAATAGATAAATTAACTTATGGGGAATTGGGGCGGCTATGGCTCAGTATGGTCATCTCCCAACTGGAAGGTCAGAAGTTCGATCCCCAGCTCCTGCAGCCACATGTTCGATGTGTCCTTGGGTAAGACACTTAACCTCAAGATGCTCCTGCTGCTTCTTCTGCGGTGTATGAATGTGTATGAATGGATGAGTTAATACTGATGGACTCTTTACTCAGCAGCCTCTACCATCAGTGTGTGAATGTGTATGAATGGATGAGTTAATACTGATGGACTCTTTACTCAGCAGCCTCTACCATCAGTGTGTGAATGTGTATGAATGGATGAGTTAATACTGATGGACTCTTTACTCAGCAGCCTCTACCATCAGTGTGTGAATGTGTATGAATGGATGAGTTAATACTGATGGACTCTTTACTCAGCAGCCTCTACCATCAGTGTGTGAATGTGTATGAATGGATGAGTTAATACTGATGGACTCTTTACTCAGCAGCCTCTACCATCAGTGTGTGAATGTGTATGAATGGATGAGTTAATACTGATGGTCTCTTTACTCAGCAGTCTCTACCATCAGTGTGTGAATGTGTGTGAATGGATGAGTTAATACTGATGGACTCTTTCCTCAGCAGCCTCTACCATCAGTGTGTGAATGTGTAGGTGTGACCTGTGGTGTAAAAGAGCTTTGAGTGGTAAGAAGACTAGAAAATAAATATACAAGCTCATGTCTATTTACTGTTCACCATTACTTTTGCCTTCATCAATTCAAACTTTAGCAGTCATAGAACACGTCATGAATCTACCCGAGGCTTTTCTTATGATCGCCTTTTGAACAAATTACAGAAAAAAACTTTGGAGGATAGTGGTGAACAAGAGTCAGCTGTTACTGCGGAGGTCAGATGTCTTGTGGAAGTGGAATTTGAAGTGAAACAAAAAAAAACACATGGGCTTGAACACAGCAAAGCTTAACTCTAACGACTCTGGTGCATCATCACTGCTTTAATAAGTCTCTAAAAAAAGGAGGTTTGATAAGTGACAGGGCCACAGACCTCTATAGGCGGTATGTAACCACAGTATGGGAGGAGAGGGAACCATCAAGCGCAGGATTATAGTGCATCATGATGCAGCTCTGAGGTTTGGAGAAAAACACTGAACCGCCTCACAAAGATGGAAAAAGACGCCAATTTGAGAGTGTGCATGCTCGTGCTGGTTGTTACTTCATGCTTCCTTGTGTATACCAGGATCTAAACACACACACTGCCACACATGGAGACCGTCATCCCGCTTTCAATTGCTTCAGGATATTAGACATGACAAGGCGACGTGGGGCAGAATAACCCCTCATACAGAAAGGGCAGTAAACAATCACAGCATATCTCTCCCTCTCTCTCTCTTTGAAGTTCTCATTATCTGGTTTGTGTGTGTGCGTGTGTGTGTGTGTGTGTGCGTGTGTGTGTTTTTATTCTGGCACACACTTCAACACACAGATGAGATGTACAGTTGTGCAGATCGTGGCTCATTGGGGGCTTTTTGGTGGAGCGGGGAGCATCGCGGTGGCTGAGTGATGGGAATGTCAGGATTTGCATTTAAATTGGCGCCATTGTGTGTACAGGGAGGGGTTTATTCATAGGATGTGAAAGGGCTCTCCACAGCGAGACGCGACGCTCGGAGCATGATTACAGCGGATCGCTTCTCCTCATGTTAATGGAGCCGCTAAATGTTCCAGGGGACATTTTTTTGTGTATCTGTGCACTCATCTTTGAATAAGTGTGTGTTACCTTTTGTTTTGAAGACACACAGACGAAGAGGATGAGCAGATACAGCCCGATAGGAGGTGCATTAATGTGCAGAAACTTTGATGCAGCACTCATCTATTCATCGGGTCTCTGTCACTGCCTCTCCATTCTTGCTTCATTTTCTGTTAATTACTTTCATCGTCCTTCGAAAGCAATGTTTTTGCACCCCATATGCACACATAAACATCTCTGTGGTGGTTATGAGCTCCTCTCTGTTGGGCCGATTGCTCATTTTGAATTATGTGCAATAATTGTTTTATGATGCACAAGAGTCTTTGCACGACGGAGAAGGAAAAAAACAGCAAGGACAGATTGTTTATGTCCCACCGCTCTCTCTTTCCTCACATTATTTAGAAGCCGTTAACCGCTGTTTGTTTTTATTCAATTAAAGGAGAGTGGCATCGTTTGGAAGTTTGGAGGAGAGGCTTCAGAGAAACCTTGAACACAAGACACAGAGAGAGAGAGTTAAATAACAAACAGGATATTTAACTCTCACTGAAATCCTCTTGAGGGGATGCAGGAGGGAGGGAGGGAGAGGGGGTAGAGGGAGGGGCTTGGGCTGGTGAGTCAGATCATTTCCACTGGGACTACAGACACCGCTGCATTAGAATGAAATACCCCCTCTCAATTAAGGAATGAGTGTGTGTGTTCAGTGTGTGTGTTGTGAATCTGTGTGTGGTGACCCCCCAGGTGAAGGTGGGCAGGTGCAGCAGAGCGACGTCGCCCAAGAAGAGATGAGCCATTAGAGAGCGGCTTAAAGACGCCCCCCTAAGACTGGCAGAGTCCAAAAGCAGCTATTAATCACACCGGCATTAGGACACACACACACACATACACGCACAGACAGAGAGAGCGAGAGAGAGAGAGAGAGAGAGAGAGAGAGAGAGAGAGAGAGAGGAGAGAGAGAGAAAGAGAGAGAGAGAGGAGAGAAGAGATAAAGAAAGAGAGGGAAAGAGAGAGAGAAAAGAGAGAGAAGAGAGAAAGAGAGAGAACGAGAAAGAGAGAGAGAGGAGAGAATAGAGAGAGAGAAAGAGAGAGAGACAGAGGAGAGAGAGAGGAGAGAATAGAGAGTGAGAGAGAAAGAGAGAGAGAGAGAGAGACAGAGAGAGAGAGAGAGAGAGAGAGAGACAGAGAGAGAGGAGAGAATAGAGAGAGAGAAAGAGAGAGAGACAGAGGAGAGAGAGAGGAGAGAATAGAGAGTGAGAGAGAAAGAGAGAGAGAGAGAGAGAGACAGAGAGAGAGAGAGAGAGAGAGAGAGAGAGAGAGAGAGAGAGAGAGAGAGAGAGAGAGAGAGAGAGACAGAGAGAGAGAGAGAGAGAGAGAGAGAGAGAGAGGGGATATAAACGTTCATTATCTGCCACACGTGAGCAGTGATAAAACAAGAGAGAGATGATCCTTCTTTTATTTAGCAGCTACACATTTTAAGGTGCTTCAAAAGAGGAAAATCAAACCTTTAGAGAAACAGTTAAATACAATGATCAGCATGAAAGCCTTAAAAGTCGACATAAATGTTTGTTGCTTTGACCAAAAACTTTAGATTCAACACCGGTGACAAAAATAAATGTTTGCTGCTGATGCGATTTGATGTGAGTGCAGGACCAGCGGAAAACAAAAATAAAGGAAGAACGTATCTAATTTCAGCTTCAATTATCCAGGCCGCAGTAAAATTAGCTTTTAACATGCGTGTGTGTTTGTGCAGCCACATTAGCAGCCGCCACTATGTTGTGTGTGTGTGTTTGTGTTGAAGTGTGTATGAAGCTGTTGGGGCGTTGTTGTGACACATGTAAGGCAGGCTACAAATTGCCTGTCACAGCGAGCTCCTCTCACTAGGCGGATAGGGGAGTGACTCATTTTCTGAAGACTTGTATTGAGTGTGTTTGTGAGACAGAGAGAGAGAGAGGGGGAGGGGGGATAGTGTGTGTAAGTGTCAGACTGAAGTCAAAAGTGTGTGAAGAAGAAACAGTCTGATTAGGCATCTGCTCTTTCATGCCTCGTGCACATCCATGCAGAGACCTTTAAGTTCTGCCTGTTTTGTTAAATGAGTGTGAGTGTAAATAAGCAAAATTAAGGAGAATTCATGCAGCGTTCAGAGAGCCAGCAGAACCTTGAATACAGAATCACCTTCAATCAAAAAAAGACAAGAGAAGAAGAAGAAGAAGAAGAAGAAGAAGAAGAAGAAGAAGAAGAAGAAGGAAAGCTCTCTTGCTCCGTCAGCTTGAATCCTCAAACATTTCCCCCTCAGATTGAGAGAAAAGTGCAGAGAACTTAAAATATCCACCTGCTGCAGATCACTAACCACACGCACACCCCACTGGACTCTAAACCCTGGCTTCCTTTAACTTCAGGGTGGACTGTTTTTTTCCAGACCCTCCTCCTTTGGGGCAGAAATGAACTGATTGGAAGCCATTAGGAGACAAGAGTCCATTTTGGGATTTTATTGTCGGAAGCTAACAGCTCACTGGAGCCAGGGGTTACACTCCTCTCCACACAGGTCGCACAAAAAAGGACTCACCAAAGCCCCCCCATCTCCTGTAATCCCCCCCTTTTCTCCTCTTTAACCTCTCAAATCAACTCCACCTCTTTGCGTCTGACATTAACACTTCTTCTCGCCCATTTGCAGGAAAAATGGCATTCAAAGGACTCGCTTCTACTCCAAAACAAATGATGGAAGAGAAGAGACATGTAATGTTGTCTGGCTGGATCGAGACATGGGTTCTTTATTCTCACTCATCTTAACAGGTCTGATCTCTTTTCATGTCCATGTAGAGTCTGCGCTTGCTGTGCAGCATGAAAAGAATAACCTGTCTTCTGCATGAATATTGAGATTTTTAAACGCAGTCTTTAAAACTAATTTATTCAGTCTGGCTTTTATATAGTGATTTATATAAATTCAACATTATTGTATTGTCTTTTTTATCCTACTACAATTTTAAATATTCTTCTCCTATGTATTAATTTTAATATCTTATTTGCTTTTATGTGTCGTATTTTATTTTTTCCTTTTTATATTTTTTTAATTCTTATTGGTGTGCATTAGTCTCTCAATGATTTTAGAAACTCCTTTTTAGTCAATAACTTTTCTGCACTCTTGTAAAGCACTTTGAACTGCAATTTCATTTGTCTGAAAGGTGCTATATAAATAAAGTTTGATCGATTGATGAACGTGTTCACCTTTACAAAACTAAAGTCTCCCTGCACGCTCCAGCAGGATGAAACCTGAAGGGGGGTCGCACTTTTTATCATTCTTTTGGGTTTTTATGCTCACCTGACTCTGGGCCCGTCGCGGAGAGGTTCCCGGTGGGTGCGACCCCGGTTGGCCCCCTGCAGGGTGCGCCGGTTGGCAGTCGAGTAATCTGGCTCCAGCTCATAAGGTTCCTCCTCCTCCGGCCCCAGGCTGCGGCGATCGTCCTCCAGGCCGTACGGCTCGGGCTGGAAGCGCTCAGGCTGCGAGCGGTTCAGATCCACGGTGCTGCTACCCATAGGCACCTGGGGCTGGGCGACGTGGCCGTAGTCGTCCTTACGTATCGGGAGCGTGTAGCTGTTCTCCGGCCGGTAACTGTTGGGTATGTAGGGGTAGCGCGGCGGCCGGAAGTTGACGCCGCGCGACAGACTGCCGTAGTTGTCCGTCAGGTCGGCGTAGCCGTCGTGCAGGCCGTAGTGGCGGACGTACTGGCTCTCTGGGGCCTCGCCGTAGGAGTCGTTGTAGGAGTTGTTGTAGGAGCGCGTCAGGGTGGAGGTGGCCTGAGGGGTGATAAAGCGGTCGCCTCCGTTCTTCATGTAGCGTCGGTCGATGGAGTCGGTGTAGCTGCCGAGTGGGGAGGTGCCGTCAGGGAGGGGCAAGCCGTCAGGACCGAGGGGCACCTGACGCACCGTCCGCGTGGTCACCGTCTTCACCATCTTGGTCACCTGCAGGGAGAGAGGCACACATTCACCTGTGAGGCAGTGTGGCATGGCATGACAAGAACACTTTGATCACGCTCACAGTAGTGCTGTGATATTTGAGCTGCACACACACACACACACACACACACACACACACACACACACACACACACACACACACACACACACACACACACACACACACACACACACACACACACACAACATGCCTCCTACAAAACACAGATTACATCACTGTGTTAGAAAACCTTTCTGTGAAGGAGTCAGACAAAGAAGCAGGATGAGTTCTGATCGTCTTGTCCAGACTGAATCATGTATTACAGATTTAATTCAGAAACTCATCCAGTTTTGAGTTAGTTAAACTTTTTTTACCTTTGGAGTAGGGCCCGACCGATGAATCGGCCAGTCGATAATATAGGTCGATAATAGCACATCATGTGACTATCAGTATTGGCTCATATTATCGATATCAGATTTTTTTTCTCTCTCCCTAATATCGTTATCAGCCCCTAAAATGACATATCAGTCAGGCCCTGCTTTGGAGTATTGTGGCAAATACTATTGGGCACCTGTGGCTCAGTTGGTAGAGTCGGTCGTCTCACAACCGTAAGGTCTGGGGTTTGATACCCAGCTCCTGCAGCCAATGTGTCCGATGTGTTCTTGGGCAACTTAACCCCAAGTTGCTCCCGCTGCTTCGTCTGCGGTGTACGAATGTGTATGAATGTGTATGAATGGATCAGTTACTCTTTACTCAGCAGCCTCTACCATCAGTGTGTGAATGTGTAGAAGGATTTGTGGTGTAAAAGAGCTTTGAGTAGTCAGAAGACTAGAAAAGTGCTACACAAGCTCAAGTCCATTTACCATTTAAATAAAACAGTCATAAAACTAGATGTCCTCACATTGTGGGCTCTCAAAGACTATTTTTTAGGCTGAATTAGTCAGGACTACTTTTCTCATCATCAAATCAAAATTCAAATTGTACAAACTTAACAAAGAGAGGCAACCTGGTGATGCAGTGAGACTAGTTCTCTCTTCATCCAGCACTTTCATTAATGGCTTTTACAGGCTGAACTGACCTTCCAAGGATAGGCCGTAAAGCTAATGGATGGAAAACAAAGTAGTGTTTGGTACTGAGGGAGGAACCTTGGTTGCTATCGTGGAGGATACTAACTGACTAAGATCTAAACAGATCCTAAATATAGACCTGTTGTTGTTACTTTGAGGTTGGAATAACAAGAGGAACACTGTCCTCCAAATCTTAACCTGGGAAAGTTGCATATATATTTTTTTTATGTACAGGGATAGTCATGGTAGATGTAAGCTCCAGCACTGTGCTTCTTGAAGTGCTCCACTGGACCTGGAATCCTGTCTGTCCCTGTGGGTATCATGGCAGCATCCCACTGTAGCTGGAGGGCTTTGACAAGCAGACCTGCATATATCTGTCACTCACGCTCACTTCCTCCTGAAGCTAAGCAACTCCACTTCCTGCGCCGTCCCTGAGGGCGTCTGCCTGCAGATTTATAGACATCAAACCCCCTCCCCCCCATTCCTCACCGTGGGCTCCTCATCCATACAGAAACCAATTTGCTGCCCAGTGAATTCTGCTGTGGCCAATAATTGGCTATTTTGTCCGCAGCCCATAAATTCATCTTCAAAATTAATGAGGTTGATGGAAATTAATCGTCATCTGCAGGGGTGCAAGGTCTGACGCTAAATTGTGTTGTGCCTGACGAGGTGTTGCGGACAGGTTTGTTCTCACTTGACGTCAACTTCTTGGGAAAAAGGGAAAAGAGACAATAACACTCTAATTCCTGTATCTGATGGGATTACAGTTCAACACCAGCCCTATTAATTGTAATATGTTTTCTTTATTTTACCATCAAGGCAATAATTGAGGTTTTCATCAGCAGCGGGGAATCGCATGTAACCATGTCAGGGAACCACAGCGAAGCATTAACCCTACAGGGGGGGGGGGGATGTGTGCAGAGCTCAAAAGCACAAACAACATATTGGTTGCTCAACATGGCATCCTCATTAGCGTGGTTAAAACAAACGGGGATCTTCACTGGCCTTGTTTTCTTGATTATGCCCTGACTGTGAGCTACATAACAAAGCCTATTTCAAGAGCAAACCATGAGCTTCATTTCCATACACTCAGTAATTACAAAGTGATTAACGCTTGTTTCTGCTGCCAGTCACACTCGAGCTCTGGAAGGTTCAAAACAAAGAGCTCATTTTCTGGGCAAATAAAAAAGCGGACGTATGACCTTGGAACATAACAAGCTCAGATCCATCCTCCTGACTCACAGACAGAGCCCAACCAAGGCTGCATCACCTGTCGCTCGAGGGGTTAATGAAAGAGGCCGAGGCTGAATGTCATATCCTGCATGTAGCCAATAACATATGCTTAATAAATCTTATTTATCAAATATTTTTTCTTCCATTTTTGGTACGCTTAAGTGATTTCTCCTTAGAGATATAGCTTTACAGAAGCCTTCCAGATGGGCCATAAAGTCGCAATGCTTTTATTCTATTCTGCTAAATTTGATCTCCTTTTATTTACCATCAGGTCCTTTTCTTTTTCTAACTCAGCCTGTCAGAGCCGAGGGGAATGAAGGCTACTGTTTCCCAGCCCTTGACATACACAGCTGCCTTGTACCAACACAGCTTTTTAGGCGATCTGCGAAGTCTGCAAAGGGAGCCATCACACATTTTTCAAACACTCTTTGATGTACTCTGAAGTTCACAAGGCGTTAAAAACCACCGCACAAGGGGAAACAGGAGGAGATGGGGGGGGGGGGGGGCTGTGTTTCAGAAGGTCTGAAATATGCTGAAGAGGCTGAAAGAGAGTTGCTTAAATGGCGGAGCGTGTGGGTACACTTCATGTAAGTATTAGTTCATGCTAACACATGAACGTCTAGTTCTTTTTGTGTGTGTCTGCATGTTTGGAAAATCACAGCTGTACGGAGAAGTGTCTAAAAACAACCACAGGCAGTTAGACGCTGGACTTCACTGTTTTACAAAGCTGTTAAAAATGGAGGGAAAGGCAGCAGGCGTCAAACTGTCCACTTCACAGCACTGTAAGAGGTTTCACGGCCGCTGAGGCATTCGCTATATTGAGAGCTTGAAGTGGACATGGTGACGGGGGGGGGGGGGGGGGGGTTAGAGAGCGAGAGGATGAGGTAGTAATTCAGATTTCAAAGCAGCCAGTGGTTCAATCTCGGACTGCTAGTTTCTCAGTACTGTTGCTAAATGTGGGTCTTGAAGATTAATGTTAGAGTTAGACAAGAAAAGGGGGGAGGGGGGAACACAGCAAAAAAATCACACAGGGCTCGGCGTCCTTTACTGGCTCTCTCTCAGACAGGTTGGGGGTGGAGATGAAGACCGGGGTCGGGGTCCGTGTGGCCGGCCTGGACTCCACAAACAGGTTGTCAGTCACTATCACTGGGTGGTAGGTCCGGCGAGTGATGGTTTTCACCACTTTGGTTACCTAGAGTTGGAGGGACGATTGGGTAGAGGTCTCAGGAAATATCATGACACATGAGTGTTGATGCCTTACACACTCTGATTCACAGTGTTTGCATGGCGGCCTCTTTCCTCTGACGTCACGCTCAGACCCTGTTTATAATGTGTTACCGCTGTGTACCATCCGTCCATTACCCATCACACTTATCCTGTTAAAGGGCCACAGGGGGCTGGAGCCCATCCCAGCTGTCACACTGAGAGAGGTGGGGTAAATACTACACAGGTCACCAATCGATCAAAGGGCTCACATCTAAAGACAGACAACCATTCATGCACACACTCGCACCTACTGGGACTTTCAGAGTGACTCGTAAACCTAAGGAGGACGTCTTTGGACTGAAGGAAGAAGACGGACTACCTGCAGAGAACCCAAACAAGAAAAGGGGTACACGAGACCTCCACAGAGAGAGGACCCTTACCAGGCAGGGACTCAGATCAGGAGTGTACTTGCTCTGTTCTACGCTATTATATATCAGGGTGTTTAAAATATGATGTGAAATTCCAGCTAAAGGTAATGTTAGCTAGTTAACAGTTGTGAGCTGTTGTGACTTACCGGTAGATACCTAACAAGTATGTGAACAGTTTGTTTAACCTTGACAGTAAAGAGCCACATTAGCGACTTTTTTCAAAGTAGATAACATGTTTGATAAGTCACCGCCATGTCATGACAGCTCATTAAACATATTACTAGCATACATCATTCTCTAGCTAACTAAATATGTCCTTTGTAAGCTCCTATTTACACTCTTCAACTCAATGTTAGCGCAGGATAGCTTAAATGCTATCTCTAGCAGCTGACTGGTAGCCAAGAGGCTCTTTAATTATTTTTTTTATTGCCCAAAAATAAACAGAAATATTAATAAATAACCATTATACTTGTATATCTGAAAACATAAGTTACAAGAGTTAAACCTTCAAATAGCATTTGTTTTTTCTAAACTTTGCAAAGTCTTGACTTCACAGCGGCGGGAGTGTTGGCTTCAAGCTAACTTTGGCCCAAAGGCAACATGCCGTAAAACACACTTTTAACACCTATTTTTTCATCTTAAAAGTTGGCTGTGTCTTACACACTGATGCGACCAATATACCAGTATAAAATGCTGACTCTGTCATTACCGCGGTTGCTGCGGCCGACCAGACGGGATTAAAAATACATCCCCATTCATTGAGTATTGAAAGCTGATTGCACGCTGTGCTGGGAATGACAGCGATACAGAGCAGTCTAGCTGACGTCTTTTCTACCTCATGAGGTCATAATCATGCATTTACAGAAAACAGTGGGATATTGTTTGGTAAATAAACCTTGTGGAGTTCTCTTTTGATTGAAAGAGTCCTATATTAAAGTTAAAGAGTGACCTGTGGAGTCGGGCAGAGAGTTCATAAGCTAGGGGTCAGTACTTCACATCTTTCACTGCAGGCTGAGAACTCGACTACCTTACTGTAGCTAGGAGAGCAAACCCCACAAAGAGAAAACAGACGAAACTAAAAGAGCGACACAGCTTCACAGAAACTGTGCGTTACACGATATAGAAATCATCACGCAGGAAGACGGTTCAAACTTTTTTTCCTCTCTGAGTGACCTTCAAAACGTGCGTCTTATACATACAGTATATCCAGATTATACGGTATGTTTAATATTGTGCATGGTCACTTCACAAATTAAACAACAACTCACGAATTACATAAATGTAGAAATAAAAATAATACAGTCCTATTTTTTTTAAAACTGATTCTCGAAGTCAGGACAGCATGTCTATAATAATCCTATACCTACTTAACTTTGGCTCCCCGCTCTGTGCACAGCAGTGAAAGTGCTTTTTTATTTCATTGTGCAGTCTGCCTTGACTCTCATTAGCTCATATCCAGAGTTAAGAGGAGGTACGCTGCATTTATTGGCACGACTGAGCTCCTCCTCCTACATGGCTGGAGTTTCATTCAGTCAGCGTCTGCCAGCAGGAAGAGAGAGCAAGCTGGACGGTGGCCAAGGGGAAAGCACGGCAAGCTGGGACACGAGGACAAACGGGGATCTAATTATGCACGTACATGTGCTCAGTGTTTGTACACAACATTGAGGCTTCTGGTCCAAGTGACTTTAAGATGAATCGATTGAAACAGAACAAGAAGTTTATGTGCCATTGAAAGGACACTCATATGTGTCTTCTAATCTTATATGAGACCTTCTTCCTCTGCCTGCACATGCACACACTCTCTGACAGTAACAGTAGCAACGTCTTGTTTCTGCTCCTTCTCCAGTATTATAACTTGTAGCATCGCTGATACCACATCAGCTGGAAACATGTTTACTGCAAAGAAACGTGTTTTATTCCTGTAGATCAAGGAAACGAGAGAAGCTTCCCTGTTTAATCCTCCAGCAGTCAGACAGGGGACAACCATCAAGGGATGAGGCGTGAGCTCGCACTAGACAGTGTGGTTCAAAAGAACAGATAAGCACATAAATAAAACTTTGAGCTGCTGTGAAATGAAGAGACACAGAAAAGGAAGGGAAGGAGAGTGAAAACAACATGAGAGTGAGGCAGAGAGAGAGGAGACGCTGGGAGGAGGGAAAGTGAAGAAGACATGTGGAGGGATTTCTTTGTGTAAACTTTGGTGTGGATCAGTTTGACACCACGGAGAAGTTGGCTCGCAGAAGTTCACCCTGAACAATAATCTGCTTTCCTCCTCAAAGTGACTCTCAAGAAAACACCACACAGCCCTTCAAAGGAGCGTCCTTCCTCTTTCTTTTTTCTCGGCAGCAAGCAAAGCCCTTGATTAGTGTGATTACTGCACACTGTCTGTGTGTGCATTTCCCCCTAAGAAGTCCCGAGTATGAATGCATAAGAAATCATGCGAGCGTTTGTGAGTGTGTGTGGCCAATCCGCTCGCAGTAAACAGGCTGGAGGTTAATGGGCCGTCCCTGATGAGGGATTAGAGCAGGCTTTTTAATTACAGTTTCACAGTCCCAGGAGAAGTAGCACTCCTCTGTAAGCCGAGCAGACAGTATAGCTACATTTACATCTGAATCCTGAGCAGAGTGTCGACCTCGACCTAAAGGCTTAGTCCACATGTAGGCGGGTATTTTTGAGAACCAAGGTTTTTCTGTGCGTATTGGCCTTTAGTATGCAAACAGCGTTTCAGGTCACTGAAAACTCTCCTTTAGTAAAACTAACTTTAGTAAACTAACCATACTTCCAGGGTGAAGATGTTCAGAAACTCAGTTTGAGGTGTTTCTGTGTAGACGGGGAAAACAGAGTTTTGTTCAGAGTCATTGTGGGACGCTGTCACTTTTTGTTCACATGAGATTTAGTGCAATGGCAGACGTAACCAAACTAGCGCTGGTGCTATTGTTGCTAACTGGACTTTTTACACGCTCACACATACATACACAGTTACTCTCCCACTATGTTGACGAGCAGAGACGCCTGAATGAACGACTTTGAAAATGAAATGGTCGTTGCAGAGGAATGGCGAGAAAATGTTAGCATGTCAAGGGCGTCGTTGTCGACTTGGCGAACTCGTGACAGCCGTAACAGTGTGTTTAGCTTTTTCATTAGGATGCAGATGTTTATGAGGACTTGGCGTGTGTGGATGGGATTGTTTTTTGAAACGAAGGAGGAAAACCACAGTTTAAAAAAAACACCTGCCTACATGTGGACTAGGCTGAAATGGTGAAGAAAAGAAGGAGGAGTTTCCACCATCTTGCTCCTATGTCTTAGATTTACAAGGTTTTTTCCAAATGGGAATCTAGTGAAATCCTAGTGGGATTTTTTTTATCCATGCAGCAAAAGTGTATGTGCATTCACTTTGAAAAGGCAGACCTTCTTCCAAACACTCTGAAGGTTTCTCAAACCTCCTTCCTGCGTCCTAAAGGGGAGTCTTGTCTTGTTTGAGGAATAAATTATTACTAACTTTGAGTTCTTATTCAAAGCACTAGCACGTTACTTTGGGGAGCCAGAGAAGAAAACATATTGAAAGACTAAATTATAAAAACCCAGCCAACACAAGGCTACACTCTGAATATGTAAGCCTCTTTTTCAAGTCATTGTAAAGATTCATTATTCTTGATGTGGGAGTTAGATGTGCCCTCGGGGTGATAGCATTAACACATTAAACACACTTCCTGTCTCCTGTAATAATTCACTCTTAAAAGAACAAGTCTTAATAACATGTACTTCATTGGTAATTTAACTAGACATTGTGATAACTCAATATTTAAAGCTTTATGTCGTCCCCACTCATGTCGAGCTTTACGTCTCACAAAATAATTCTATAACGCCCTGTTTCCATCAAGAGGTCTCATTCAGTTCTGTAAGGTACCCATTTATTGGCGTTTCCACCGTCAAAACCGTTCTTCTTTTTTGGTACCCTTCTGTTGGGGTGCCAAGGGTACCGACCAGACCCTAAAGGGTCCCTTGCTAACTGTGTCCCTTGCTTCTTCTTCTTTGAAAATAATGAATAGCTGGTTACATCATACAGCAGGGCTGCTATGATGTCACACTTCTACAGAGCTGAGGCGTCTATCTCCATTATGGTTTACACCCCGCTTACCAAATATGGGAACGGTTGGCTGTGGAAATGCAAGCAAGATCAGGGTTTACCGTACAGAACTGTACTGAACCAAACCGGACTGCTTGGTGGAGACGGGGCTTAAGAATATGAGACAAGGAATATCCCTGTGGCACCGATAGCCTAGCTGTTAGCGCGCGGTCCCAGGTCATAGGTTATAGTCCTACAAGCGGGGAGCCCGGGTTCGAAACTTATCCGGTTGTTTCTCAACCTGAAGGTCGGGGGTTTGACCCCCAGCTCCTGCAGCCACATGTCTGATGCGTCCTTGGGCAAGACACTTAACTCCTTATGCTTTGTTGGCGGTGTATGAATGTGTATGAATGGTATTAGTTACTTCTGATGGACTCTTTACTCAGCAGCCTCTACCATCAGGGTGTGAATGTGTAGGTGTGACCTGAGGTGTCTTAGCGCTAAACAAGCTCAATCCATTTACACTTTGTATCACCTGTTGTGTGAACAGGGTATATATGACAGACAGGACAGATGCAGAGTTTGACAGAGAGGAAAAGAGGACGTGATAAACAACAGGAGGACTTTGAAACTGGAGCGTTATTGGGCTTGTGATCAAGCAGACTGTGTTTTTGCATTTTGCCGCTGTAGCTTGTAGATATGGGCACACATAAACCTGGTGGCGTGGTGTTAAAAAAAGAAAAAAGAAAAAGCCATACTGTTGTAAAGGTGGACTCACCTTCACGTTTGATGACATGTCCTTACAGAAAAACGACAGAACAAAGTAGAGGACGGATCAACTTAGGAAGCTTTTTTTTAAAAGGAGAACAACACAAGTAGGACACAAAGGGAGTCTGCTGATTCTAACACAATATTACAAAAATAAAAAAATAAAGCCATGAGAGGGAGAGGTAGCCACTTTGGCTGTGGGATTATGGGATTTAGAGTTCTTCAAGGTGGAAGTCTGGGAAGAGGAGGACCAGTATCGTTCTGTGTGAAGCAGTAATCCATAACGTGAAGTTTGATAATATGGAGTTATTATTGGAGTTAAGGCCCTGAACAGGATCTGTGTGACATCATCTGTGACATCATCTAAAATAATATGTAGCTAAACGTTCATATTTCATATTGTCTCACCTTTGTTTCTGTGCGCCGCGTGGTGCCGTCATCAGAGGTGACCACGGAGACGTGGGAGGTGGGGGTGCCGGGGTCCTCCTCTATGGTGACCGTCTCCTCCACCACCTCCTGGGGCTCCTGCATCATGCCCAGGGATGTGGCGTTGCTGGGGCTCTGCTCCTGCACACAGAGGAGGGGAGAGAGGATACGTTAGACACACAGATAGATTTTCATAATAAACCGTAACACAGCGTGGAGTAAAATCAGCACAGCATCCAGGTAATCTCCCATTAAATACACAACATGATGAAACTTTAATTGAGCCACAGCAGAAACAAATCACATCAGAATCCAGCAGAGAAAAAAACAGAGCATGAATAAAGAACAATGCACATGAGGGGTTTTAAACAGAACGCCACCAAAGATTTAAAACGTGAGCAGAGCGATGCAACATGAATAATGATAACTGCATTAAAACTGTGACAATGAGATGGATGAAAAGTGTTCAAAAATAAAGCATGTGGCTTTGAGATAAGATTGATCCTCGTGTAATATGTCGATCAATAATAAGATTATTAAAGTTTGTTCTGTCTAATTATGAAAGAGTTTTCTACTTTAATACAAAGGAGCGATGTATAAACAATATATCTGAGAGGAAATATCAAATTGAGCAAAACGATAATACTGACTGGAATAAAATAAAAAATGTTGACCTTTCAAAAGAGCTATGTAGACTAAGATTAAAGAGTAAAGTGTTCCAGCTGAACTCCTCAGTATACAGGTTTGAAACGTACAATATGTAGAATTTTTACGCTAATATATCTAAATTAATAAAAAATTGACTCAACCTATTTTATTTATTTTTTGGTTGAGTACTTACATTACCTCTAACATTTCCAACAGTTATCAAAGCCAGAGAAATCTGTAATTTTATAATTTAACAGGACGTGTCTTGTCTCGGCTGCTGCCATGACAGAGCCTCCATGACAGTAACATCATGTTTATCGTTGCCGTGGAAACACCAGATGTTACGTCAAAGACCGCTGCATAAGGAAGCGTGAGCTGAAAAAAAACGTCATGTAAATTATACTCTGATACATTAGCTTGTTGGTAAACATATTCTCTTCCTCAGGTCATCTTGACTACGGTCAACTCGGAGTACGTTTTCACCGGGGGTTGAGGAGGAGTCGCAAAGAGAACTCCCATGAATCCCCGCCAGCCTCGACATCATTTTGTGTTATTGTTTTTATTGAGAGCCCCCTGGTGGTCGAATTGATATATTTTGCATTTAAGTAGTGTTGTTGTTGTTGATCAGTTCAGGTCCAAATCGCGAAAATTGGTGACAAAGTAAGTTCTACATATTGTGTTAAAAATGTGCATAGTGACTGCCCTCAACTGCAAATTTTGTTATTAAATAATGCAAACTTTTTCAAAAGAAATTAAAAAGGCTACATTAAATGTTTTCAGTTGTTCAGTGTAAAAAATGGTTCTGAATTGTGACAGTTTTCTGACCTTAAGACTGGTTGACTATTCTGAATTTAAATAAATTTTTGGGGAAATTAGTGGCAAGAAACCACCCCAATACAAACCCCGGTCAAATGAGGACTCAATACATCCACCACCATGATTTCAAACTGTTTCACCTCTCGATGCAGAAAGAGCCGGCTCAACATCACCGAGAAACAGCACTTGATATGCAACCTCTGTAAGCACACTCAGGCTTTACAAAGCCTTTGTAGTGCAGCACACAAGAAAAAAAACAGAAAAAAAGATAGAGCTCTCGTGTTTGTTTGTAGTCCTGACAGAGTATGATTTATTTGCCCTTAATATTATATCCAAACACTGCAATGCAGGCAAGCTAGAAACTCCTCACCTCTCGAGACCTCAAATTGAGTTAAAGCTTCTTTCAAGGCAAGAAAAAAAAAAAAGCCTGGAGGACTGTTTTTGATTCATTTTTCATTGGGAAGCCGTATAGAAAAAAGTGTCCAGTGCTGGGGGATGAAAGCGAGCTCAGAGGTTCTCACAAACCACCTGACCCTGTGTGTGTGTGTGTGTGTGTGTGTGTGTGTGTGTGTGTGTGTGTGTGTGTGTGAGAAACATGTGCTTCCTGCTGCATTTCCTGCTGATGGAACGTGATATGGAGCCAGTGGACAGAGGTGCACCGGCCCTGGCGTGGCTCGCCTCTGTGCATGCATGTGACAAAATTACAGCTCTCGTGATGGAGAGGGGAAGGAAGGCATTTGAGGGGCCAATCATCGATAACCAGAACAGCACGGAGCCAAGAGAGGGAGAGGAAATCTAAAGTAAAGGAGAGGGCTGAGAGAGAGAGAGGGAGAGAGGGAGGGAGGGAGGGAGGGAGGAGAAAGAGGATGGTGAGGTGGAAACTGGAGTTTTTCTTTTACACGGGGGGAAGAGGAAGCAGGGTAGTTTTCTTATTGCTGCAGCTGACCTTAAAGATTTTCTTCAGGATGTTTGGCATGCCATTCCTATTGTGTTTACTTCCTGTTTCTTTAACTGAGTGTGTGTGTGTGTGTGTGTGTGTGTGTGTGTGTGGGGGGGGGGGGGACAAAACACCAGCTGATTTATTTCATACTTCAACTTGAACTTCCTGACCTCCACTAATCCCACTCAAAAAACAAAACGTCAAAGCTCGGAACAACTAAATATGTCCTCTAGTGTCCTCATCTTCATAATCCAGCTAAAATAAAGTACAATTATCCCAAGCTGGAGGGCGAGAGAGTCAAGGCCGAGGAGGGAGCAGGAGTTTTTAATGTTGATCTCCTCCATGTTGTTGAACTCCATCCTACAGACGGAGTTCTGCTTGTTTTCCTCCTCGTCCTGAAAGACACTAACGAGTGAGCAGTTCTCTCTCATCGATCGGCCAGCTCCGGCCTCCACTGTCTCAGGCTTCAAAGCACCGCACAGCTTCTTCTCATTGATCTCCAGTCTTTTCAACTCATCAGTCAAAAGTTTGCACCTTTTTTTGTGTTGAGGGTCTTTTTCGCCCGAGTCATACTTAGGTTGCCAAATGTTCAATACTTGGATACTTTTTAGATACCGCGTGTTTGAAAACGATATGATGACAGGTCATCAGTCATGTTTTTAACAGAGAGTTGCCATGGTAACCAATGTATTTAGACACTGTGGTGGAGTTTGCCTGCAAGTTTTAGGCGTTATTTTTTAAAGTGTGAGTGTGAAAAACAGTAGAAGTCCTACGAGACAAAACAGAGCAGGACAGGAAAGACATGAAACATGTATACTGTAAAATACTGAGACATAGACTATAACTCCTATAGACTTCACAAAACAATAAGAAATAGAGAAAAAGATAAACAGTCAAGGAAAAGAAGAGAAGGTGAAGGTGAAGGGGGAAAGTACTTTTTGGAAGGTGGCCTTGAGAGGGAGAAGAGAGAATCGATGAATCGGTTTATGTTGTGAATATACTCAATAGTCATTAAAACAAGGAATCACCCAATTATGGATGCACTGGACTTCCATTTTGGTTCACTTATTATTGAAGCAGGCATTGATAGGATTCAATCATATCAGAGTTTAAAATTCTGATATCGTGACAAATATGGGTGCAAAAAAAGAAGACGCACTAAAGTATCATTATCTTTCAAATGTTCTTTTGGGGTTCGATAATCATGAAATTGACAACCCTGCCTTCCAAAACCCTCCAGCCTCTACCTCCCTGCTGAACACAAGAGCCAAGAGCCTTGGTTTGTGTCTTTAAAGAATATCCTTGAGCAACACCTAGCAGATGAGAACTTTCTCTATTTACCTACTCCACTCGATCCAGTAACTTCGAGTCAATTAACTCTCTGAACAGAGCTGAGTTAGGTCATTATACTCTGAGAAAAGGTTTCCAAGTCCCATTATTGGGGTTAATAACTGAAAGGGCTATCAGCTCCGTGGAAAGAGACAGAATTTACACACAACCAAATTCTGTTGCCGAGGGAGACATATTATTGAAGACTGACCTCAGGCTAAACAGCTGAACTCTACTGGGAAGGCTCTAAAATGTTATTCAGGAAAGGTCAGTTCTGATTGGTTGCCTTTAATCAACATTCTTGTTCTGCTTAATTACAAATGTGAATTGCCTTCCTGATTGGCACTCAGTGCTGGAAACAATGTAAAATACCTTATTTGTGTACAGTGATTTAAAGGTCACATATTATACAAAACACTAATATGTGTCTGTAGTCCGTCTACAAACCCCCCAATGATGAGAAAAGTCCATCCTCTCCATCTTTTGCCTGCTCCACTTTTCAGAAAATGTGTGCTCAAACAGGCCGTTTGGAGATTTTCTGTTCATGACATCACAAAGGGCAGTAACCCCTCCTCCAGCTGGGTGACACTCCCACAGCTAGGTGTTTGTTCTGCCCTCTGAGTCTGCCTTCTCACTGTAAACAATAGGACATGGAGCGAGAAAGAGTGAGACACAGCTCATTTACATATTTAAAGGTACAGACACAGAAACAGCCTGAGCAGGGCTGAAATAGAGGGGTTTATAGACATGATCAAATACAGGATCAGAGTGGATTTAGAACAAGAAACTTCACACACATATTTTGAGGAGCTCTGAGACTTATTGGTTGAAGAGGAGGAGGATATGTGACCTTTAAAACAAGGTAAACACTTTTTAAATGCAACATGGTGTCAAATGGTCCAACAAATAAACAGGACATGGTCTTTCCTGGTTACTCTATGGCAGCAACTATGCCTTCACTACTGTCGACACACTGTCGAAACAACATGTTGTATGATGTAAAAGCAGCAGCATCACAAAGTAGACCGGGAGGATGCAGGGATCCTCAGAGGCTCGATGACAAACCACTCCCGCTTGCCTCGTCGTGCACTACAATAAGAGTGAACCCGACATTAGAGCCCCTGAATAAATGATTAAAAGGCGTCTGGCCCATGGGCTGGCAAGGTCTGTTGGTCCCCAAGGAGTATTGTGAATGGAGGAGAGTCAGGAAAGCATTACCTTTAGTCAAGGGCAGAGAGAAGTGGAGCACAGTGCGTTACAGACGGATGAATAATAAACTAACTGGGGGGGTATGAAAGAGAATGCAGAAAAGGAGGGGGTGGATTCTTATCCGCCAGAGGAATAGTGGTCAAGGCTAGATATGAAGTAAAATTTCCAATCATCTGGATCAGGAAACAAGGGAGACTAC